CCATAACAATATCAAATTTGACCATAATATTTTTTTTAACAACCATATGTTGTAATTATTAATTAATGAGGAAATTAATGAAATAGATAATCATTATTGTATTCTAATAATAAATGACACCTAGTAAGTAAGTAAAGAGTTGTAATACTTAGTAAAGAGTTGCAATATTTGGTAAAACAGTGTGTTTTATCAATGGTTGTAATATTTAGTAAAGAGTTGCAACATTTGGTGAAAGGGCGTGTTTTATCAAGGATCGTAATACTTAGTAAAGAGTTGCAACACTTTGTGAAAATATGTTTTTTATCAAGGGTCGCAACCTTATAAAACAACACCATTTAGTTTATAAATAAACTGTTTCAAATTTCGAAAAATATACCAATTAGAACTTTCATTTTACTTGTTTAAATTCTAGATTTCTTTCTTCCCTAAATTCGATTTTTCATCTGTCTTGTACAAACTCTAAGATAGTCTGAATTATCCTGAGTATTCATGCGTGTAGAATATAAGACAAAACAAGAGCGCTTGAAATACTATTAGAAAAGTATTTATATGCACGATTCTAGCTTTGATCTGTTTAACTTAGAAACAATTTCTAACAATCTAATAGTATCACAAATAATAGCTACTGAGACTTCAGTTTCAAATATCAAAGTAATGAACCAGAATTTATCAAGTTGGATCATTTCAATGGGACAAACTTCACTCGCTGGAAACACAAGATGATCTTCCTATTGGATACCTTAAAGATCATTTATGTCTTGAATCCTTAATTGGTACCAATTTTAGAAGTGTAAGACAATGATTCTAAGGAACTTAGTAAAGAACACAAGAAAAGAAAGGAGGACTATGTCATGGACACATTCTAAACACACTATTCGACCATCTCTACAATCTATATGCTGACAACCAATCGACAATGGAAATATGGAAGGTACTCGAGTTCAAATTTCATGTTGAGGAGGAAGATACTAAAAAGTTTCTAATTTCAAAGCATTTTGATTTTAATATGTTGGATTGAAAGCCTATATTTGCACAAGTGCACGAGTTACAAGTTCTTGTAAATAAACTTAATTTTGTGAAGATCGATACTCCCAAAGCTTTCTAAGTTGGTGCAATTATTGCAAGATTTCCATCTTCTTAAAAAAGCTATACAAAGAAGTTGTTTCACAATCCGAGGACTTCTTACTAGAGAAAATCCAAAAATATCTTCGAATCAATGAGAAATTGAAAGATAGATAGAAATTTGAGACTGATGGATATTCTAAGGTCAATACGGCGAGCGTAAAAGGTAAGAAAAAATAATTAAGATGGTGATAAGAATTATCTTGATCCTAAAAATAATTAAAATAAGTTCAAGAATTTTGAAGGATCAAATGGCCCCAAAGGCGGTTGTTAATTGTTATGTTTGTAGCAAATACAATCATTATACTCGAGAATACAAACATAACAAGTCCAAAAACTAGACAAATGATGTTCAAATCAATGATAATATAATTACTACACGAAATTATGACAATCAAATACAAAGTACAAAGATGATGATATAATACTTGTGCTACTGTCCATATATTCTATGATAAAACAACATTCAAAATCTTAGCAACGCCACGGCCACCAAAATATCTAGTTAAGAGGGGATGAGGATTGATAACACCGACCTTCATACACCGCCGCGGTTACATCATACGGGAAAATCATAAACCAACACGGTATAATATTATATACATCATGTCTAAATCAAATGTGTTCAAAATTTTCCTCAATCCTCAACTACAAGTTGGTCCCTCTTATTTTTAGAAACAGGTGGAGGGTTTGTACTCTCCATAATAAATTTTCTCCTTTATTCATCACTCACATTTGTAGAGAAGATAATTCTTATGCTGATTTTTTAACGAATTTCACACTCATATTAATTCTATCGTTATATTTGATTCCATACCTTTGAGAATTATGAATGATTTTGTAAAAAATGAGTTAGATATATATTAACCTGTAAATAGTATTTAATTTTAACCTGTAAATATGGTCCATGGCATTTACATTAAATATAGTTACTAGGTTGACGAAAGATCCAGATCTAAGAAAATTTCTTACAAAAATAAAATTTGCATGGGTCTTATTCTAAGCACATGCTTGCGCATTCTAATTAAGAATTATTCTACCTTGATTCAGTATTGTTGTTTGGCTCCACAACTAGCATCATGTTATTCAGCATTTTGTGGCACGTCGCTATTTGACATAAACTCTAATTATTTATAGAAAATTACACTCAAGTCTCTTTTCTAATAATATTTAAATTATATATCTTTAATTAGTTTTATACTAAATGTATATTTAATCATTTAGTTAATGATATTTTGTTAAGACCACGTTGTTCAAAAAAATTCAAATTTAAATTATGATTAATAATTATTAACAGTTGTTATTAAAAAAATTAATATGAAACTTTGTTTATTTTGAAACCAAATCATGATGAAACTATATTTCTTTTTAAGGAATATATTTATTAATAAGAAAGTATGAAAACAAAAATGACAAGAATTAGATCTCAATCATTCATTATTATTATATTATATTTTTATTTAAAAAAATTTAATTTAAAATAAATTTAAAATTATTCTCTAAAACAATTACAAGTATTCATTCTTGTCTTTCTTATTTAAATGATTTTTATTATATAATTTTTTTTTTAAATCATGCTAACTGACACATCAGAAAAATATTTATTAGTTTTTTTTAAAGTTATGTTATCCAGCACATCAGAAAAACGCTTGAGTCTTGAGAGTGTGTTTCTCTCAAGGTCTCATATTCAAATCCGGTTAGATATAGAATATTTATTAAATAAAAAAGAATAATAAATAAATAAAATATTTTATGTTTAAAGTATTGAATGCACGCAATATTTTTTTTTAAAAAAAAAAGCTAATTATTTGTCTTTTCAATAAATTGAATATACATATATTTGTTTAAAAAAATTTTATCTTTTTAATCTATTAAAAAATATCAAATTTACTTTTTAATTTCTTAACCAATATTCATATTACTTTTTTTTTTAAATTTACTATTGATTCGAAATCTTAGAATAAATTTAGGATGGGTAAAAAAATTCTCTAAATTGAATAGAATTAAAATTAAAATAATTATTAATTAGTGAATCATATCAGTATTTTATCAACAATTCTATAATCAAATCAAATGATAATTCAGAAAGTTGTGTTAAAATATTAAATTTTTAAAACATAAACATTACTTTATTGAAAAGTGGAAAAAATCTAAAAGATGATGGTGAAAAAACAAAGGAATTCATGATAGAATGAAAAACTTTAAATCTCTAAACGGATCACTAACCTTAAATTACATCTTATTTTTCAATCAAAATCAGAATTGAAGTTCACTCTCATAGTTAAAATTCATTTTCATATTCAATAATTTAGAATCGAAAGGCTGTGAACTTAAAATCACAATCAAACGTTTTAAAATCAAAATCTCATAATCGAATGCAACAAAATTATGCATTGTTTATTAACTTTTTTTGTTTTTTGACTCAATATTTTTTATGGTTCGTCATTTTTCTTGAAAATGAAATTCAACCGTTAATTTCACCCACTTGTTTATAGCTACAAAAGAATATCTTTGTTTTTATGTTGGAACTCATAGATTTTATTTTATTTTATATCATTTGTGTTATTTATTCTGCTTTTACAATTCTCCTAACAATCAAGTTGAGATTTTAATAATGTAAATTTGATTTTAGAGATCATATATGTTTAAAGTCAAAATGAATTACATCTATGAACCAACGTATATACGAATCAAAGAAAAATTATATGTCGATGAAAACCCTAGCTCACTGTCGCTGTTATCGGTGATTCTTCCTCCCTCTATCAGCATGTATCTTTGAGGTCACTCTATGAATTTTACTGATTTGTTTCTTGAAAATGTTTTTCTTCCCAATCCTCTTGTTAGACCCCTCCCCTCCAATGTTCATGTTCCAACCAAAGCTCCGACATCCTTGAAGTTTTTTGCACAGACACTCAAGGGTGTTTGTGATATCTCGACTTTGCAACTTCCTTACCTGTTATCAAAGAAGATCGCCCCTCCATCACCATACCGGAAGATGAATACGTAGCAGGTCTCAATGAATAGAAGAATAACCTCCATGGTCGGGTCCTCTGGCCAAAAGGTTCTACGCCTCTCATTATCACAGCGCTTCGCACGAACCTCTCTCAGATTTGGTCTGATGTTAAAAACTAGGGAGTGTTGTCGCTTAGGAAAGGATATTATGAGTTCACTTTTTCTAATGTTGAAGATATGAGAAAAGTTAGAGCTACTGATTCTATCAGCTTATGCCCTGGATCGCTAAAACTATTTGTTTGGTTGAAGGACTTCAACCTTTCTTCATAGCACAATACCTCTGCTTAGGTATGGGTCTGATTTTTTAGTTTATCTCAGGAATACTAGAGGCCCCGAATCCTTTTCGCCATAGCCAGTTGTGTGGGAACACCAATTTGTATTAATGTCGCTTCTTCGAAATCTAGAGTTGATAGAACTTTCAACCAATACGTTCGTGTTTTGATTGATATGGATTTAACTCAGCCAATCAACTACAATGTTCTTATTGAACTTAAAGGGTTTGCGTTCTTCTCATACATAGAATACAAAAATTTACCCGGCTTCTGCTTCCACTGCAAGAAAACTGGGTATGATGTTCAAAACTGCAAGTTCTTGAAGCAAACCAAAAAGCATCTGATTCCAAAACCTAAAGTTGCTTGTGTGCTAAAGCCACCTTTAAAACCTCGGGTAGACTCTTTGCTGCCTATCATTGATGAGGTCAATCACAATCCTAATTCTGGTGAAAGTAGAGACAATATTCCTTTATTAGAGGTCTCACCTGATGTGAATCTAAACATTCCTAATGTGGAATCGAGCTTGATCCCCACAACTTTCTTAATTTTGTTTCACAACCGATCGTAGAATCGAATTCTCAACTGTCCACTTTTATGGATGCTACTCAAGTAGCTAATGATGTTGAAGTTCCTATTGCGGATGCCATTTTTCTCAATAATTTATGGGATAATTTAGCAGAATTAGGTGAGAAGCCTATTCCAAATGAAGATGTCTTTACTTCAGCGATCTCCAATCTCAAGAAGAATCAGTTTGCTAGAAAAAAGTAACAATATACTACTAGGTCCCAAGAAGGACTTAAACAACTTTCATTATGAAATGCCTCTATTGGAATATTAGAGGTGTGGCTAAGGCTCCTTCCAGATTAGCCCTGAAGAGACTCATTAAGTTACATCATCTTGATTTCATCTTCATTATGGAACCCAAAATGGATTTCTCAAAGTTTTCGAACAATTGGTTTCATCATTTAGGATTTAAGCTCTTTGCCTTCAATAATAAGAACATGTCTTCTTTGTGATGCTTATGCAATATGGATTCTTCTCTACCATCATTTCCTCTTCTGATCAATTTGTTACTTTTTCGTTTGTTTTGGACAATCGTTTGTTGGCTTATGTTGAAGTTTATGCCTCCACCAATCTTATCAAACAGCATGAACATTGATTAGATCTCAATAATCACCAATGTTTACATCCTTTTTCGTGGACTTTTATCGGGGATTTCAATGTTATTGCAGGTGCGTATGAACAACGTGGTAGAAATATTCTTGCTCGAACCCCTATATATGATTTCAAGAACTTGTCGGATGCTTATGATCTCATCCACATTCCCATTTATGGCGCCAGATTTACGTGAACAGATAAAAAAGATTTTCCCTTCACCATAGAGAGACGACTTGATAGGTTCATCGAGAATCAACTTTGGTTCGATGTCTGCAATCGAATTTAGGTTTCTACCCTATCTAAAGTTAGTTCTTATCCCTATCAATTGTTTCTTAAATTCCATATTAATGTGGTTTGTGTTGTATCTCAATTTAAATTCCTTAAAACCTGGTCTTTTCTCATAGATTATAAAATATTGATTGAATCGGTTTGGGCTTAATATGTTGTTGGTTGTCATATGTTTCTTCTTTCAAATAAGCTTCAAATGTTGAAAAGAAACTTAGAGAGTGGAATAAAAACATCGTCGACAATGTTTCTAATAATGTTAAAAGTGCAGAAGAACTTCTTGATAAAATCCAACTTCAAATCCAACTTGAGGGTTGTAATGACAATCTCAAACAACATGAAATCTCATCTAAAATCTCCCTTTTGGTTGCCTTAGATATGGAGGAGTGATTTGGAGGGAGAAATCGAGGGTGAAATGGAATTTGGAGGGAGAGTGCAATAGCACCTACTTTCATTGTGACACTAAAGTCAAGCACAAGATGAAGCCTATCTCCTTGCTTATGCATGATGATAGAGTGATTTCAGACCCTAAAGAGACAGCCGATTGCACAGTGAATTACTTTCAAACATTGTTTTCTACTAACTTTGTTAATTTGCAGGATATGAGCATGGTGGATGATACCATCCCTTTGTTGGTTGATGATAATATGAATGCCATTCTCACGAGGCTGGCTTCTTTAGATGAGATTTCTGTTGTTGTTTTCACTTTGAACAAAGATAGTGTCGGGTCTGGACGGTTTCAGGGTTGTTTTTTATCAAACATATTTGGATATCGTTAGGTGGACGTCTTGAATACTATTTTGGATTTTTTTCTCAAGGGTTAGATTCTGCCCGGATATTGCTTATTCCTAACATCAAGGGTGTTAATGCTTTAGATCAATTTTAACCTATTGTTATTTCTAACTTTAAGTTTAAATTTATTTCAAAGATTATTGCAGACATGCTTGCGGCCTTGATGCCATTTTTGGTTTCCCATGAGCTGCAGGGTTTTATTCATGGCGGACAAATTCATGATTGTATTTGCTTAGCTTTGGAAGTGGTTAATTTTTTGGATTCTAAAGCTCGGGGTGGAAATTTGGCTCTTAAAATGGACATTAAGAAAGCTTTTGATACAGTTAACTGGGATTTTCTTATAAAAGTCCTTCGTACTATTGGTTTTAATAACAAGTTTTACTCGTGAATTAGTGTAATACGGTGGGAGAAATGACTTTGGTGTTTTGCATTTTATCGCATTTATTACGGATAGCAAGAGTCTCCACCGACTTTTCTTTTATCCAATAAAGGAAAGGTGAAAAGAACAGGAAAGACCTTTGAGATTATTTTGAGTTCGGGGGATAGATTATGAAAAGGGAAGGTGTTAGCACCCTTTTCATCCATAGTTATCTATGGGATCTTAGTTGCTTGCTAGATCACTTGCTTTTGTTTGAAAAATGTGCTTGTGGTGTGGGTTTTGAAATTATTTTTGAAAACATCTTTGTAATGGTTCTCGTCTCTATAAGAACGCGTACAAAGTGTTGTTTGGAAAATAGTTCAAAGAAGTGTTTGTGGAATTTGTTTTTGAAAGTGATTTTGAAAAGGTGTCTTTGTAATGGTTCTCGTCTCTATAAGAACACATACAAAGTGTTTATCTTTTGAAAATGTTTCAAAATGAAAGTATTGGTGTATAAAATGTTTTTGTTGTGAGCAAGCGAGCAACTAGGAGCATCCTACCTACTCAAAAGGTCTTTAATGTTCTTTTCCTCCTCCTTTAGATGTTGCTATCTTACCATTGATTTGGTAAGAAGCCCCGTCATTGGATGTGAAGGGACGGGCATGGGACGTTTGTATAGTCATAGGAGGCAACCTATAGGACGTTTTAGCAATGTCGTTTAGGGACTAGATTGTTCACTGAAGGCAACATTGAGGGTCATCGAGGGACTACGATCTTTTATCAAGGGTCTTTGCTAAAATGCCCATATTTGAGGGACGTGACTATTTTTCTGAGGCAACAAGTGAAATTACCCTAGGGGTACATGTGTGAATACTGTGTTTGATTTGCATGCATTTAGTCTTTGATTAGGGGTTGTCTACTTGTTGTTTTTATCTTCCCATACAAATCCTACTTTACTAGCATTTATATGAAAGCGACAAATTGCGGAAAGTAAATATCCTACGCTATTACAATCACTTGGGGATGGGGTGTACAAATTTACAAATGGGGGTTGCAAGAAATTAAATTCCTAATTATCTATTACAACCATATTGAAATAATGTACAAGAATTGAAATGTAAAATATATTTGTTTTGTTTTTGTTAAGAGAAGAAATAAATTTGCTTAAGGAAATGCTTTTAGTCTTTTTGTTTTAAAAGAAATAAAGCAAAGTGTATGAATATAAAGTATTTTTTGGTGTTTTCGATTAATGAAAATAAAAGTGATGATAAAAATAATAAGAGAATAAGAGTTAAAATCAGCGTGTTGCTGAAAGAATAGAAATAAGAGAGAGCAAAAGTTCTGACTCCGGCGTGCTGCAAATCAGAAAGAAAATGTTAACAGAAATGGGGAAAGCCAGAAGTTCTGGATCCAGACGCACTAAAGTTTTGGGGCTGCTGGGAACCAAGGAAAACCTAGAAGATCTGATAATGGGTAAGTGAGGTGACAATGTTGTTGGATGAGAATGTCTAGAAGTTCTGGTCCAGAAGTACTGTTTTGACAAACAACTGGAGGGGGTTTATCTAGAAGCTCTGGTCCAGGATCATTGTGTGACAAATAATGGGGTAAAAATGAATGTTAATAAATAAACATAAAAGATGCTTCTGGGGATAGAACCCAAGATCTTTAACACTAACGCCTTATGCATGCGCTCTCTACCACTGGGGTGGCTATACATCTAGTATTAGAAGCAAAAACATAAACATATATTAGAAAGTAAGTTCTGATGATGAACTTCATCTTCTTCTTCGTGTCAGCCAGAGCATCTGCAACTTAGTCATTTCTCAACAATAAATGGAAAATGCAAACATAGAAGTTATGACAAATTTCATCATGGTTTCGGAAATATAAAGCATTAAAACTGTAAACCAGAAATAAGCATGAATTTTGCTAATCCTAATTCTGAACCCTAATTTCCTCAAGACGTTCTGATATGAAATTCTCTCTACTTAGGCCATATAAATGAAATCTATAAATATATACAGATTCAGAGCCATGATATCTACATTGTGTCTTTGAAATTGCAAGCCTAATAATTGTTCTGTGAGTTAGAGCCTGGTTCAGACTGCTGTGATGTTCTGGTCAGCTTTCTCAAGTTCCCAGAAAGCTAAAGCAACCCTTAACTTGAGTTATGACTGGTTGGAAGGCTCCGGAGCAGTCAAGATGCAAAGTTCTGATTTTGAAATGGAGATTGGTGAAGATTGTGTTATAGTTTGAAAACAAAAGTTAGAAGGCTCTGAAGATTGCAAAATCTGGCCAGAAGTTCTGAACTTATCATACTTTCTTAACACTTAGAAAAATTTCTAAGTGTTTAAAGCTTTGACTTTTCCAAAGTAATTTTGACTTTTGATTTTCTTGGTGAACCAACTTCATATTCTAACATGTCTTGATGAAATATGATTCTTGAAACTAAATTTTGGTCCAAAAGTTAAAGTTTGACTTTTAAGTGTGCATTTTGACCATTTTACCCTTGTGCCAATTCCAAACTTAGATTGATGTATCAGTGCTGCAAACTTGAGTCATGGAAGACCTTGTGAGAAAATTCTTGAGAAATGAGAGGGAAAATTTTGGGGTACAACAATTAGCTTTATTCTTCATTCAACGTATCTGTTCGTGAATGTTAATAGAGTCTTGCATGGTTTCTTTCATTGCTCTCGTTGTGTTCGTCAAGGAGACCCATTCTCATCGCTGGTGTTCTGCATGGACGAAGTCGTTATAAGAAGAAGGATTCCTCAATTAGTTTCTTCCAACCGTTTGGACCTTATCACTTGTCTGAATAATATTAAAGTCCCTTCTCACATCCTTTACCCAGATGACGTTCTTATTTTGTGTAAATGTAAATTCTCCAACATAAAACAATCTCATATATATTTTTAAAGACTATGCTAAAATATCGAGACAAGTGGTCAATTGTGGGAAATATTTCATTTATGGTTGTGCCATGTCGAACTCCCATCTCAACATTCTTGCTGCTTGCTCAGGTTTCCAATTTGGTCATACTCCCTTCTTGTATCTTGGGGTTCCATTTTTCAAAGGTAAACCTAAGAAGTTATTATTGTAACCTATTGCCAACAAAATTATAAACAAGTTGGCTTCATGGAAAGGTTTGCTTCTTTCTTTTGCGGATAGGGTGGAGTTAGTTAAATTCACCATCCTTGGGATGCTTAATCATATCATGTCTATCTATGCTTGACCGCTATCTCGACTTTGTGATATTGAGAGTGAAAAGGTTTATTTGGAGTGGTGAAACTTCTAAAAACAAGTTTGTGACCATGGCGTGGAACAACATTTATAAGCTGGTTGCGAAAGGCGGTCTTGGTATTACATCACTCAAGTTAAACAAAGCCTCAAATTTGAAACTTGCTTGGGATCTTTGTAATTCTTCAGGCAACAAGATTATTCTCCTTCTAAAATGGGTCTTCTGTAGCAACAAGCTCATTGATCATCATATCATCTCTTCCATTTGGTCCAGGGCCAAACATGAAATAAGTTATACTTTTTATAATTACTCTTAGTGCCTTCGGAATGGTAACTCGACAAGTTTATGGTTTGATAGTTGGTATGTCCCTCCTTTGTGTCTTAACGATGATGCACCGACTATGCTTGATGATCAAACTGTTAGCAACATTATGGTAAATGGTCTTTGGGATCTTGCTAAGTCCTCCACCAACATTCCCCTCTTTATCCAGGTGCGTGCATTAGCAATTTCCATATCCCTTTGATATTCGTTCAGATAAGATATGTTGGCATCATTCTTCGGATAGTGAATTTATCTCTAAGGTCAGCTTACGAATTCAAATGAAATAGAGGCACTACTTTGGATTATTGGGAATGGATATTGAACAAGTCTATTCCTTTTTCTAAGTCTTTCATGGTGTGGAGGCTAATTCATCATAAGTTGCCGACGAATGATCAATAGAAAAGAAGATGCTTCTATCTCCCTTCCAGGTGTGATCTTTATGGTTTGGCAGAGGAAACATAATCCCATATTTTTTAGTGCCCTTTTTCTTCTAAGCTTTGGAATTGGATTACGAACATGCTCAATATCTCTTACGTTATCTTTGGTTGGCCGAATATTTGAAGATTTCTTGGAACAACATGTGCTATTCATATTAAGGTCATCTCTAAAGTAGCTATCATATTCACTCTCAACTCGATTTGGAAGACTCTGAATCTGGTTAGATTCAATGACACTTCTACTAATTTTTCTTCTTCTACTTCTTTTATTATGGTTGTTGTTTCAATTGCTGATAATGCCATTACTGTTGGTCCTCATATTTCTTTGCATGATTTTGAGATCCTTAAAAGGTTTAAGGTGACTATTTGTCTGTCTCGTGCACCGAATATTTTGGAGTTTTTTTGGCAGCCCCCTCCAAGGAATTGGATAAAGTTGAATTGTGATAGTGCCTCCAATTCCCCCCCCCCCCCCCCCCCCCCCCCCCCGGGATCTTCGGCTTGTGGGGTCATTGCTAGAGACAATGGTGGTTCTTATTTTAGGTGATTTTGCTTCTTTTTTAGGAGTCTCTAATTCTCTCATTGTCGAACTCTCGGGTGCTATGCAAGCAATTGAGTTCGCCCATGAGAAAAATTCTCATTTTGTTTGGTTGGAAACAAATTCGACAGTGGTAGTTAAAGCTTTCAGCCCTCTTTATTGTGTTCTATGGTTGATTAGGAATAGATGACTTAATTGCATAATTCTTATTTCTAAGTGAAATTTTATAGTTTCTCATATTTTTAGAAAAGAAAATAATTGTGCAGACGCCCTTGCTAATTTAGGTCTATTTTTGATTGATACCATTCACTTTTCTTCTATACATGTGTGTATTAGAGATAATTTTGTAAAGAATATATTAGGTTTGTCATTTTTTAGAACTAAACATAATCATATTATTAGTTTAGTTTATCGGTTAAGAATTCCTAACTTAACAAAGTATTTTTTAAATATTTTTAATAAAAATTAATTAAATTTTTGTATACCTTTTTTTCGTTAATAAACATTTCTTTATGAAATTTACTATGAAAACTAAACACTTTTTACCTAGCTTAGAGAACTAATTAATACATATATGAAATGATATTTTAATATAATTAATTACATTAGACTTTGATATAACTATTTATTCTTGTTTATTTTTAATCCTAATTCAAATTTTAGATTTCATAACTTGAAGAAATAACATCTTATGAATTTTAGAATGATTTTAGAATTTCAAGGGATTTGAGAAAAAAAATTTAGTGAAAAAAATTAGTGTTGTTCACTACACCTATATAGAGATTACACATCCTATAAAAACTCAAAATTATTTTTTCTATACTCTAAATTTTAAAATCTAACGTGTTTATTCTACAACAAAATTATTTCATGACTGAAGCATCTATTTTTATTAAAAATTGGTTCGAAGTATATTCTACGGATTCCATTAGAATTTTAATCTCCATGTCACCTAGCATGTATATCTCACTTCATGTTAGACATAATCAAAACACCTCATTTTCAAAAACATTCAAAAATATCCTTTTATTGTCACTCTTGATTTTTATTTCAAAATAACACTCTTATGTTTTTTTATTAAAGGGAGTAAAATAACTTGAAATTTTAGGTAATTTACATGTATTACATTGTTCATTGTTTTAAATCATCTATTTTTTTGAGATGAAAAATGAACGTTGCATCAGAATTTCAAAATTTGAGATTATGTTCATAGTTTGTCCGTAAAGTGAATTTCGGTATGTTCTATTATGGAATTTGAATTTGCTTATATTATGATTGGTTGGGGTTATGGTTTATCCTGATGGTATCCCTGAGCTATCTCCGACACACTCTATCTATGGATATTAAACCAGACGACGTCCATGTAGATATTGAAGAAAAAAATTTTACAAAAAAACAAGAGTTTGCTGTACATGAACATATGCTTCAATGGGTTCACACAGAGACTACATAATTAAGGTTCGACATTGTAATCAGGCAATCTGATTCTTGTATAAATATATGCCTTTCATGTGGAAACAACTATAAAAAATACCACAAAATATCTCAATATTGGTATCTGCATTTGTTTACTTCAACGTTGTGAGTCCTCCTCTTAAATTTAGGATCACAGAGGACACCTATCTTGAAATTTTGGAATCCAAACTAGATAATCTCTTGCAATATCCAAATAATCAAAGGGTGGTTAAGACAGATTATTGTTCACCTTCAATTGATAATAAATAGAAGTTAAAGTTTAACAATTTTGAGTTAAAGATAGATGACGATTTAAGAGTTATGTATAGCATATTTCACCATTATGAAAGAAATAGTTAGATCGAATTGAATGCGACAGACATGAGATCAATCGACAATAATCTAAAGATATTGGAACATTCTCAACTATCTTTAGTTCATGAAATATGATGTTAGGTTTATGTTAACAAATATCTATGTAATATTAAGTATTTCGTGTATGTGATAATAAATATTTATGTTAATTTGCGTTTTCTTCATCCTTTGTATGAAGTAGCTTATGTTTTACTAATAACAGTCCATATTCCAGATTTCAAAATACGAAAAATCTCATGTCATAATTTGTGTTTTTGTCTGAAATTTATTCTGATTTTCTGATAAAAGTGTCTATTTCAGATTTCAAAATTCAGAAATAATCGTAAATTAGTTTGTGGTGTGTTTAAGTAGTAGTATATGCAGGGGCGATGTCAGCGCCCAGCGAGATAGGGCAGCTTCTCGGGCTCTTCCTTCTCTCGCCTAAACCTCAAAATCTCATTGCAGTGGTCTCTCTCTCACTCAAGAAATCGAAATATCAGAGTCAATCGTCTCTCTCTCTCTCTCTCTCTCTCTCTCTCTCTCTCTCTCTCTCTCTCTCTCTCTCTCTCTCTCTCTCTCTCTCTCTCTCTCTCTCTCTCTCTCGGTCTCTCTCTCTCAGGAACAATGATCATGCTTAGATTGCGAATCATCACGAGTTCTCTTTTTCTTCTTTTTCTTTCACTTTTCAGCTTGATTTTCGATGGGAATCATGGTTGTGATGTTATTCATTGTTATTTCAGGTTGTGGTTTATGAATCAGTGAATAATTGTTGCTGAATTTATCATTTTATGCTATGCACACCAAGTGTTCGGTAAAATTCTCGAACCATGTTCTTTTGTTTTTCTATCTTGAAATCTCTTGGTTTCATGTCCGAGTTGCTATTATCGTGTTGTGATTAATTATGGTTGGCAAATTAATGGAGTGTCGTATCATTCGTTTAACATTTATCAAATCAAACATGTGTAAGTTATACCTATGCAAATTGCATTTCAGAAATTGATACACTATTTCTCTAATTCAGTTTTGCACCTCTATTTCCTATCATTCTTTTCACACTTCTATTTAATATTCTTTACTAGCTTAAGTTATATAAAAACCACTAAATTGATTATATTATTATATCATATTGAAGCAGCTAATAATCAACGATCAAATCAAATTGTAATCAAGAGCGTGAGACTTTTATGGTTTAGAGTGTGTATCACAATTATAACTTGAGTCACATGTGAGTATTGATAGGATAAACTCTAGAGTTTTTCAAGTGGAGTTCTTGTGTTCTAAGGTGTGATTTCATAGACTTTTATTATTTATTTATTATTATTTTGATTTGATGATATTTTTGATGAATCTAGATTGAAGTTTGCATATTCTGATTTGTTGTAGTTTTTGTTTGTTTAAATCTTGCATTTACTTTGTATCTAATGCTTCATGAGTATTTGATTTTTTGATACATAGCATAATTCATTGGTATGATATTAGTTTTACCAAGTCCTTGATTTAGATGCAAAGGGATTTGTGTCTTTACTAGTGATCCATAATATTGTAACTCTTGAAAATAAGATCTTATGTTAACCTAACATTTGATTATGTTGAAATAGCTTAAGAAAAATTATTTATGTTGAGCTTTTTAAACTCGAAGCATGTTTACCTGCATGCTCCTTCATCATCGAAATGTCTGAATTATCGGTCTCAGACCAATATTAGTATAAGTTTTTGTTCAGACATTATAATTTTATTGGCTTCGCCACTGAGTATAAGAGAAGAATCCAAATTTTAAAATTCAGATTTGTTTTTAACATTGGCTTTAGCGTGTTTTAGAGTATGTTGTGAATTTCGAGCGCGTCAGAATTTTAAAATCTGAAACATGAGATTTTGCTAAGGTTCGTGAGTAACAAATGAGGTGTAATGAGTAACTCCCGAAAAGAATTTCACTTAAAATATAATGAAAAGCCCAATAAATATTCAAAGCCCATAATAAAAAGCCCACTCACAACCTTAAAAAAAATTGACAAAAATAATAATAACAACCGAATCCAACAATTTCCTTTGCACTTTCACTTCTCTCTCTCGATCATTCTCCGTTCTCGATCTCCGATCAGCAACTTCAGGTTAGTTCTCACTTCTATCTTCCTCGATTTCAATTCACCATTCTTCCATTTCCTTTCGATTTTGCTAATTTTATACTCAATATTTCGATTTAAATTTCAATCATTCCGTGCATCAAATCACATGTATTTTTTTTTTCTTTTCAAATTCGATTAATTACGTTGATGTAGTAGGTACCCATTATTGTATAGCCAATTGGGTTTTCAATTGCAACTTCAAAATTAAATCTTGTTAACTAATCATAGGTTTTTGATTTTGTGTATTTGTGCATTTTGCGATACGATTTTTAGTTATTTTTTTTTCAGTAGAAGAGAGAAAAGGAAAAAAGAAGAGATGTCGGGGCAATCACAGCGTTTGAATGTGGTCCCCACAGTGACAATGCTTGGAGTGGTGAAAGCACGTTTGGTTGGAGCAACAAGAGGCCATGCTCTTCTGAAGAAGAAAAGTGATGCTTTAACTGTTCAGTTTCGTCAGATCCTGAAAAAGATTGTTTCGACAAAGGAATCGATGGGCGACATAATGAAAACCTCATCCTTTGCATTAACTGAGGCTAAGTATGTAGCTGGCGACAACATCAAGCACGTCGTGCTTGAGAATGTTAAAGAAGCTTCACTCAGGGTGCGTTCTCGTACTGAGAACGTTGCTGGAGTGAAGCTTCCGAAATTTGATTATACTGCTGACGGCGAGGCCTCGAAGAATGACCTTACTGGATTGGCTAGAGGTGGTCAGCAGGTGCAGCAGTGCCGTGTCGCTTATATTAAGGCAATTGAGGTTCTTGTTGAGCTTGCGTCGCTTCAGACATCTTTCCTTACCCTTGATGATGCTATCAAGACTACTAACCGTAGGGTTAATGCTTTGGAGAATGTTGTGAAGCCGCGGTTGGAGAATACTATTAGTTACATTAAGGGTGAGTTGGATGAGCTTGAGAGAGAGGATTTCTTTAGGTTGAAGAAGATTCAGGGTTATAAGAGGAGGGAAATTGAAAGGAAGATGGTGCTTGCTAGGGAGCAACAAGCTGTTGAGAAGTTGCACTTGCAGAAAGGAGCGACTTGGATTTCTTATGATTCCTCTCAGAACTTGTTGTCTGGTACAGCTGATAAAGACGAGGATATCATTTTCTAAATATAAATATTTATAGAGATATGTGTTCTTGCTCCTTCAAGGAGGTGGCTGGATATGTCTCGGTGTTGATGCTGGTTCTTCTGCACAATTTGTTTAGGTGAGAGACATTGTTCTGTATCATGAATAAAGGTGCTTAATATGTGTTTATTTATTTCTTTGTTATTTTAAGGACATAAATTTTTATTATGTTCAGAGGCTTTTGAGATTTGAGATATTCATCATTTGGAATTAAGTTGTTGTGATTAGCTTTAGTTTACTTTCAAATTGTGTCAAATCTCTATAGAATGTATGGCTGTAGCATGAGTCTTCCGACATGTTGAATAAGAAATTTAAATGTAGGGCTTTATCCCTATGATTCTGGCTGCCTTGATTTTAAAGTTACATAGTATCAAAATTGCATTGTATTCTTAAAGCATGCAATTTTCCTTTTATTGTACATCGGTGACTGCAGATTTTTTATTTATTGGCGTGGGATGATGAATAGGATTTAAGGGCACGACTCTTTCGGTATGTATGCTGAGGTTTTATTTTCGGGGTTCTTGATGTCGTCTTATTTGTTACGCGGCATTTGTTGCTTCAAAAGACTATTTTTTATTTACTCTGATTTTTTTTCTCAATGAGAATCATTTGATTTTGGTGGCCAAAAACTGTCTGAGATGATTTTGCTTCTGATTCTCAAGTGCTGTTTTTTTACTCAACAATCTTTGATGATGATGCAACTGTCATGTACATTTTTTCAAAGCTAAGTTGACAGGAGCCCAAAACCAGGGATGAACTTGGGCAGGTTGTGACGACTGAAGATTCGCTACAATAACAAAGATGTCATTTATAAGAATCAATTAGAGTTTCAATCGACAAAATAGAATAGATCTAACTCACTCACCAATTTTATTTCTCTTAAATTGTCTCTCATAAAGTTACAAATGTTTGCTTAAAGCATTTTTTTCTTCTTAAACCTGAATGGGCCAAAAGTGACACCATTTTAGGCCTTACACCAAAATAAATTAAAAGGAATCAAGGTTAAAAAACTACTATAACTCTTACTTAAAATAAACTATTTAGTTCAAATTAGATTAAAAAATAAATCTTATTATAACTTCATAAAATATGACTTCTCTCACGATCTTGAGGTCTTTATTATTTACTCAAAAGAAATTCAACCATAAATTTAAGTTTTATTATGTTTTACCCATCAAAAGTCAAATGAAAATTAAGAAAAACCAATACATATTGCATGTGAGAAAGGTTTGTGCAACAATTATAATCAACACTTGGTAACATGCAAGGGTAAATTTTTTTTATATAATTTATAGTTGACATCTGTTTACAAAGGCTTTAAAGAAAATTGGGCCTTATAAATGTTTCTCTTCGTCACAAATAAATGATGGATCTTGTCTCTCAATCATATGAGAACTTAAATAAGAGAGTTGTTTTTCCCACCCTTAATGAAGAGCCACTAAAACTCAATTGTTCTTCACAAATCCAAAAGTATAATTTTTGTATCGTGTCTCATATACATTACTTTTTTTTAGTGAATTTTTCTTTCCATCTTATAGTGAAAAGAAAAATTCTATGTATTTTCTAAAATGTTTTTAGAAATCAAAAATATATTTCTGGTGCGCTTAATTTTCTGTTAAATTATATCTAAAAATCGGAAATACATATGCAAAACATATCAAAAATATATTTTTGGTTTTTGTGCTGATAGGACCAGAAAGTTTTATATTGGCAGGTGGCTCGATTTGCGCATTGTTTGACATTGAATACAAAGACGTAAGCAATAAAATATACTACAAAAACATGTAGAACAAAGACATGTATAAATATATATTAGTAAACAATACAAAAGATGTTCGTAGTCAATGTAGGAGTAACTCAAAATATTATCCAAATACATGAAAAAACGATAACCAAAATACATAGACAACATCAAAGACAACTGGATATGGCAGACTCAGAGACAACCCATTATCCTTCGTCGTTCCTCCACTGCCTCCTATACTGCAGAGTCCCTTGAGCCTCTACCATGATGTGATCCAAGACACCTCTAACATCAGATCCATTTGGAAATAAACCTTCATCAATATCCGCCAATGCGATCTCCATGATACGACGACACCTAGGCAACACATAAGTGGCATGATCAACCCGTGCCCGCTCCTCCTCTAGAATCTCTTGATGAGCTGATCTTGGTGGATTTCCTAGAGCATCATGTACTAAGTACGAATGAGAAACCCTGAAGAATCATATGATATAGCTGTCCATGTAGCTCAATCAACTAGAGCAATTGTACTCCAGGCCTCATTTGGAATAAGATAATTCTCATAATCATCAAACAATGCATCCATATCCATGCGTTTCACTAAGGGAGGAACATATATAGCAGGATCCCAGGGAATATACTAGGTGTACCCAAACTGACACATGACGCGCTCAGGCATATAAGCAGTCGTCTTGCGCGATCCATAAGCCAGCCATCCCGTAAATAGCGCAACATCATCAAATTGTAACGTGTCACAGTGGTCGTGGTATGAATTGAAATGTATGTCCTCAAACCCCTGTTGGTCAATATACCATCCGAAATGGATCTGTCGCCTGGTTCCCTTGAAGCGGGTCGTATGCAGTGGCACGAGGCTTAGCTTCAGTATAATCAGTAGCTAGTGACCAACTCGAGATGCAGGGAAAGTGCATTAGGATCCAAACTTGAAATAACAATAATTATGAACTAGTGACAGAATCACAATAATTAACAAAACGCCACGAAGACCAATCTAGATGGTCTCTCAGCCATTATTCCCGCAAAAGTATGAAAAATACGTTAACATAAAGACCATTATTCAAAAAGATGGGAAAATAGAAACAAACTAAATCGGAAATGCATTTTCGATTTTGTTCAAAATGAAAACTAGAAATGTATTTTTGGTTTGACCTACATTTTTAAGCTTCGTCAATGGCGAAGCTGAGTCGTGAATTACCTTCATCCCTTTTCTCCTTCGTCTCTATTTCTCCCCTTCTTCCGGTTAGTTTCGTATTCCTTCTTTTGCTGGTTTGTATTGTTACAGGTTAACAAGGCGGTGGCTTTGAAGTCGCAGACAATCAAGCTCGTGAGCAAAGATGATTTGACGACAATGAAATTCCTCTTCCCAACGTTACGAGAAAGATCCTTGCTAAAGTGATTGAATTTTGTAAGAAACATGTTGATGTGGTGAGTTCTGATGAAAAACCCTCTGGAGTTGAACTCAAGCTGTGGGATGCCGAGTTTGTTAAGGTTGACCAAGTAACACTGTTCGATCTCATCCCGGTTAGTTATCATCTTGACTATATTTAGATCCAATCGTTGTTTTTTCGATATTGTGTTGTATATGTTGGTGTTTCATGATTTGGGGGTTTAAATTAGGGTTTCTTTGACTTTTTGTTTTTGTTTTTATTCTTTGTTTTCTTTGTTTGTAATTAATTATTGTGCTCTATGATGAAGTTGTCGAGTTGTTTGAACTGTTTAGAGTTGTAATTTCCCCCCAATTAATTCATGAATAATTTTTGCGGTGAAACAATTCTATTTTGTACAAAGAATTAGCTTAGGGGGTGTAATCTTTGCAGTAATCTATAATGGTGTTTACAAACTTGTGTTGTTGTAGGTGTTGATGCGAGAAATTCGAAGGTTGTGGTGTTGAAACTCCTTTGGTTTGTGTTGTCGCAAGTGTGGATACATTTCGTTCCAAATCTGCAGGTTGTGGCGATGCTACTGTTACATTGTATGTGAAGCTACAAGTGCGGAATTGAAGCTTCAATGGTTGGTGAATTGACGCGTCGAGGTGATGTCGGTGTTTGAGCTTATGTGTCGAAGTCGGTGTTGATGCAATTTGCAGTTGATTCACTGTTGTTGCTGTTGTTTGATGTGGTTTAATCGCAAAGAGCAGAGAACATTACCGTCGGAAAACTACTCAGGTACGGTGCATTTGATTTTTTTACGCATCGGTTTTGAGTTTCTTTTTACGCTCCAATCTGAACCTTCTTTCTCTGAACCCTGTTGAGTTATCTGGTGATTGATGTAGTGTCTACTTGCATTTTTTCTTGTAGAAATTTGTTGTTTTTCTTGCTGATATTGTATATACGTTCATATTTACTTGCTTGTGAAATCTATGCAGGGTAATTGATGAAGTTATCAATGAGGCTGAAAAGAATTTGGGTGATGAGAAGCCTGCTGCTGAAAATGATGTTGCTGAAGGAAACAAGGATAGTCCTGCTAATGAAGCTGGAGTAAAAGAGCCTGAAGATAAGGTGAATGACCATCACAATCTCCTTCTTTAATTTGTTTTTTAATGTTTAAAGTTATTAATCAATTAGCTCTTTTATGTTTGGCTATTAGGAGATGGCTCTGGAGGAATATGAGAAGCTTTTGAAAGAAAAAATAAAGGCTTTGCAAGCACTCAAGACTGAAGAAAGAAAGGTTGACACTGAAGAGGTTGAAACTATGCATGCCTTATCCTGCAAGAAGGACAATTTTGAAATCTTTGCTAAATTGGTAAGAAACTTTTTGACAGACCAATTCCTAATCGATATTTGTATTTTTTTGTTGTGGAAAATAGGGTTTTGACAAGGAGGAGAAAGGTAAAAAGGTCTTGCTTTGTCAAATTTTCTATGCCTTATTTTTTGTATTTTTAAGTACATGGTTACCATTTTCACATGATAACGATATTGCTAGGTCACTTGGATCATAATAGAATTAATTGTAGATCATAATAGAGTAAAATGTCCATCACAATAAAATAATATAACATGTAGTATTTTGAAAAGAAGAATAAAATTACTAATGTAAATAGTAAAAACAGTTATAATTTTTTCTGTCACTAAATGATACAGATATTGCTAAGTTACTTGGATTATAAAAATGAAATATATTGGTAAAGGTGTGGTACAAATATTTTTGTTTATGTATTTGATTGTATTGTGAAGTTGCCCCATATTTATTCTATGTTTTTTTGTTTATCTATGAGAGCACTCTTGATACTCCTCTTGCAATTGGAGCCTTAATCTTTTGTGGAGTTGTTTGCCAAGTTGATTCTTTAATAAAATTAGTTCATGGATGGTAAGTAGTGTTAATCAGGAAATAATCAAACACATTTATTGTGAATAATTTACATTCATAGAATAGGAAATTGCCATTATAAGTTGTAATTAGTTATTATGAGTTGTAATTAGTCATTATGAGTTGTAATTACCGACACTATTATATATAGTATCAAATGCAATGAGAAAGGCATCAAGCCAGAATTCATGACATGGTATCAGAAGGGTTCGATCTAACCTGTGAATCCTTGTTCTCTTGGCTGAATAGCGACACCCCACTGGGTCGCTCTTGAAATCGTGTTTCTTGTTTGTATTTCTCGAAATCTGAAATCTTTCAATTGCCGTTTCGTGATTTCCTCATTGTTGTTGCTTCGTGATCTTGATTCCGTGTTTATCGCACGTTGTTTCGGTGATCGTTAATCATTTGGTGCTGCTAACATATTGTGCTTTGCGATTCCGTTTCGTATTCTCGGCGATTCCGCTTGGTGATCGTTGTTCTTGGTGATTTTGTTCGGTGATCGTGGTTTCATTGTTGAATTGTTGGCGATTTCTAGATCGTGGGTGTTTCTTCACCGTTCGTTAGCTACTGCGTGGTTTCCTGGTTTAGCTACCGCGTGGTTTCCTGGTTTGCTTCCCATTGTTTTATTATTTATTTAATTGGTATTATTAAATAAATTGGTTGCACGTGCATACTGGGTTTGGATTTATCCTGTTTATTTAACAATACAAAGGGGTTATATCTAATGGCAATGGAAAATGAAAAGAATTTTTGTGTCCGTTTTACCGGCAAGAATTATTCTGCATGGGAATTTCAGTTCAAGATGTATGTTAAAGGAAAGGGATTATGGAGTCATTTAGATGGTGTTTCTAAGGCACCGATGGAGAAAACTGGTTTAGATGCGTGGGAAACTAAAGATGCTCAAATCATCACTTGGATTCTCAATAGTATTTATCCTCACATGATCAATAACTTACGCTCTTTTTCAACTGCTCAAGAAATGTGGAATTATCTAAAGCGCATTTACAACCAGGGCAATTCGGCAAAACGTTTTCAGTTGGAGTTAGAAATAGCCAACTACAAACAAGGTGATTTGTCTATTCAAGAATACTATTCTGGTTTTTTAAATCTCTGGGCAGAACACTCTGCTATTATACATGCTAATGTTCCCAAGACCTCTTTCGCGGCTGTTCAAGAGGTTTACAACACAAGTGGTCGAGATCAATTTCTCATGAAATTATGCCCAGAATTTGAGGTTGTCAGAGGTGCCTTGCTGAATAGGAATCCTGTTCCTTCTTTAGATACATGTGTTGGAGAACTCCTAAGGGAGGAACAACGTCTTATTACTCAAGGAGCCATGTCTCATGATGCTACCATTTCCGAGTCCGTGATGGTTGCATATGCTGCTCAAAGTAAAGGTAAAAATCGTGATATGAAACAGGTTCAGTGCTTCTCTTGCAAACAATTTGGTCATATTGCTCGTAGCTGCAATAAGAAGTTTTGTAATTACTACAAGCAACAGGGTCATATTATCTCTGAGTGTCCCACACGTCCTCCACGACCAACACAACGTTCAGTACAGGCATTCCATGCAAATCATGCGGTTGGTCCTTCCACTAATGGGGCATCAAACGATAGTGCTATACAACCTGAATTGATTCAACAAATGGTACTTTCCGCTCTCTCGGCCTTGGGAATTCAGGGTAAGTCTTCTAATGTTTCTTGCCCATGGTTTCTTGATTCGGGTGCATCCAATCACATGACAGGTTCTTCAGAGTATTTGAACAATTTACACTCTTATCATGGTAATCAGAAAATTCAAATAGCTGATGGTAATACTTTATCTATTACGGATATTGGCGACATCAACTCTGATTTTCGGGACGTGCTTGTATCACCTGGACTTGCGTCTAATTTATTATCTGTTGGTCAATTGGTAGATAAAAATTATGATGTTAACTTTTCTCGTGATGGTTGTCTTGTGCAGGAACAGGTGTCGGGGAGAGTGGTCGCGAAGGGGCCTAAAGTGGGAAGACTGTTTCCACTCCAGTTTATTTCTAATCATATATCTCTTGCTTGTAATAATGTTTTGAACTCTTATGAGGATTGGCATAGAAAATTAGGTCATCCAAACTCTGTTGTTTTGTCCCATTTATTTAAAAATGGTTTGTTGGGAAATAAAAATGTTTCTAATGCCTCTATTTCATGTTCTGTTTGCAAATTAGCTAAGAGTAAAAGACTTCCTTTTCCATCTGGTGCTTATCGTGCTTCCACTTGTTTTGAAATGATTCATAGTGATGTATGGGGTATATCTCCTGTAGTTTCTCATTCTCACTATAAATATTGTCACATTTATTGATGATTATAGTCGTTTTGTTTGGATATATTTCCTTCGATCTAAATCTGAAGTGTTTTCTGTGTTTAAGAAATTTTTAACATATGTTGAAACTCAATTTCAAGCAAGTGTTAAAATTTTTTGCTCTGACTCTGGTGGTGAGTACATGTCTCATAAGTTTCAGGAATACCTTCAACAAAAAGGCATCTTGTCGCAACGATCTTGTCCCAATACCCCTCAACAAAATGGTATTGCAGAACGGAAGAATGCTTGATGTAACACGCACATTGCTTCTCCAAGCTTTAGTACCATCCCGATTTTGGGTAGAAGCTCTTTCCACAATTGTCTTCTTGATCAATCGTCTTCCTTCTACGGTTATTGAACTTGATTCTCCTTTCTTTCGTCTTTTTAAAATTCATCCTGATTATAGTGCTTTACATACTTTTGGGTGTGTGTGTTTTGTTCACTTACCTCCTTTTGAAAGGCATAAGCTTGGAGCACAATTAGTTCAATGTGCATTTATGGGATATAGTCACTCTCATAAGGGATTTGTGTGTTATGATGTCACTAACCATCGTTTTCGCATTTCTAGAAATGTGACATTTTTTGATAATCAGTTTATGTTTCCCTGTGTTTCTCCTGCCATTAATGATATTGTTACTCTTCCTAAGTTTTCTATTATGCCTCAATCTATAGAACATTATAAACCGGGTCATGTATATGTCAGAAAACACAGACAGCAGGTTCCCACACCCCTTCCCGACGCTGAACCGCCACCTGATCCTGTACCGGTTGAACCACGGCGTTCTGGTCGAATATCTCGTGCACCAGATAGATATTCACCAGACAGGTATGATTCCTCACATACTTCTCTGACTGCCACACTCTCTAGCATATGTATTCCTACTTGTTACTCACAGGCTGTTAAGGATATGCGATGGATAAAAGCAATGAATGAAGAGCTTCAAGCTCTTCAAGAGAATTTCACATGGGATATTGTCTCTTGCCCTCCCGATGTAAAACCTATAGGTTGCAAATGGGTGTATTCTGTGAAATTAAATTCTGATGGGTCCCTCAACCGTTACAAGGCTCGTTTGATTGCGTTAGGAAACAAGCAGGAATATGGAATTGATTATGATGAGACATTTGCACCGGTTGCCAAAATGACAACTGTCCGCACGATCATCTCTATAGCTGCTTCTAGTGGTTGGACTCTTCATCAAATGGATGTGAAGAATGCTTTTCTTCATGGTGACCTGAGAGAAGATATTTATATGACTCCACCTCAAGGCTTATTCTCGTCATCTAAAGGCGTGTGTAAGCTCAAACGCTCCTTATATGGTTTGAAACAGGCACCTAGAGCATGGTACGAGAAATTCCGCTCCACTCTACTTGGATTCTCCTTTATTCAGAGTCAGTATGATTCATCTTTATTTATTCATAGCACATCTACGGGTATTGTTCTGCTTATTTTGTATGTTGATGATATGGTTATTACTGGTTCGGATCATGCTTCCATTCAGCGACTTAAGCAACAGTTACAAGCCTCATTTCACATGAAAGATCTGGGTAATCTACATTATTTTCTTGGTCTTGAGGTTCATTCTACATCCAAGGGCATCTTTCTCCATCAACACAAGTATGCTACAGATTTGATTTCTATGGCCAGTCTAGAATCGGCTAACCCGGTAGATACTCCTCTTGAGGTTAATGTTAAATATCATCGTGATGATGGTGATCTTTTGCCTGATCCCTTATTGTATCGACAACTTGTGGGCAGCCTCAACTACTTGACTATTACTCGCCCTGACATATCTTTTGCTGTTCAACAAGTAAGTCAATTCATGCATTCTCCTCGTCATCTTCACTTGGCTGCGGTTCGTCGTATAATTCGCTACTTAAAGGGAACCTCTCACCGCGGATTATTCTTTTCCGTTGGAATTTCTCTTCAGTTGAGTGCTTATAGTGATGCTGATTGGGCAGGGTGTCCTGATACTCGTCGATCTGTTACTGGTTGGTGCATGTTTCTTGGTTCTTCATTGATCTCTTGGAAAAGTAAGAAGCAAGCAAGAGTTTCTAAATCTTCTACTGAATCAGAGTATCGTGCCATGTCTGCTGCTTGTTCAGAAATACTTTGGCTTCGTGGTCTTTTGGCTGAACTTGGATTTCCCCAAACAGAGTCAACTTCACTTTATGCTGACAATACAAGTGTCATTCAAATTGTTGCAAATCCTGTTTTTCATGAGCGCACCAAACATATCGAAGTTGATTGTCATTCAATACGTGACGCCTACGATAATCGAATAATATCACTTCCTCACATCAGTACTCAGTTGCAGGTTGCAGATATTCTTACCAAGGCTGTTCCACGCCCACGACATCAGTTTCTTGTTAGCAAATTGATGCTCCTTGACCAGCCGCATCAATTTGAGGGGGGATGTTAATCAGGAAACAATCAAACACATTTATTGTGAATAATTTACATTCATAGAATAGGAAATTGCCATTATAAGTTGTAATTAGTTATTATGAGTTGTAATTAGTCATTATGAGTTGTAATTACCGACACTATTATATATAGTATCAAATGCAATGAGAAAGGCATCAAGCCAGAATTCATGACAAGTAGAACTTTTCTCCAGCTTTATTAATACTTCTCTTTAAGCAATGCGATTTTGTTCTGCATTATAGTCATTTTTGGTTTGCCAAGTTGTTTCTTTAATCAAAGAACATTCATTTAAGGCATTTAATGCTTCAAGTTGTTGGCTTCTAACCATGTTATTGTAATTTTTGCAGGTATGAAACTTCAGGGAATGATGATTATTCATTGCTTTTGATTCTCTCAAGCAGGTTAGTGATTGTCACAAGTACATGTATGATAGAGACTTAGGTGAAGAAGTTGGGCTTGACTTTGGGCCTAAGCCAAAAGTGTGGAGGGTTTATACTAGAAGACGTGGCAAAGGAATAAAGGAATAGATTGTAGGAGTTTGTTACGATAAAATAGGGAAGAGAGAGAGAGAGAGAATAATCATAGGAGTTGCTACTATAATTAATCCTATAATTAATGAGTTTGTTACTATAAAATAGGGAAGGAAGAGAGAGAATAATTAGCTAAGTTTATGACTATAAAATAGGGAGGAAATAAGGTATCTAGGTATTCTATTTTTTGATTTGAGAATCACCGTCTTGGTGAGGGAAGCACTGCGTGCTTAGGGGGGGCTGATAGATATTCTCTATCAGTTTGTTATTTTCATCACCGCTACTTCTTTGTAATTGTTCGTCCGTAATAATACAATTACAACATTCTTTTACTATTCTATTCATATATTCATTGTTCACTCATATATTCATATAAGAACCCATCAATTGGTCCGACCTGCCGGATTCGAAACGCACCCGTGACGGAGATTGTTCATGACAAGGATGGGTGACAGAATTGAAGCTTTGGAAACACAGATGGAGAGTGTGATAACAACGTTGCAAGGGCTGGCTCTACAAATGCAACAGCACGCTCAGCAGATGCAACAACAAAGCTTGATTTTAACTGAATTGAGCAAGCAGATAGGTCAGAAGGGAGTGACTCAGGAGGATGACACCTCTGTTGGTCATTCATCACAGAGCGTGTCTCGCCTTGCCGGGAAGAAGGTGAAGCTTCCGGTGTTTGAAGGTGAGGACCCTGTTGCGTGGATTACGCGCGCGGACATTTACTTTGATGTGCAAAACACTCCGGATGAGATGCGTGTGAAGCTGTCCCGTTTGAGCATGGAGGGTTCAACAATACATTGGTTTAACTTGTTACTGGAAACAGAGGATGACCTCTCTTGGGAAAAACTGAAGAAGGCCTTAATTGCGCGCTATGGCGGGCGACGCTTAGAAAACCCGTTTGAAGAATTGTCAACGCTACGTCAACTGAAGACAATCATGACCACCACTCCGGTATTAGCTCTGCCTAATTTTTCCCTACCCTTTGAAGTGGAATGTGATGCAGCCGGAAGGGGTATCGGGGCAGTTTTGATGCAAAACAGGCAGCCTGTAGCTTTTTTCAGCAAGGCTTTGTCTGATGGCAATTTATCAAAATCTGTGTATGAAAAAGAGCTTATGGCATTAGTATTATCTATACAGCACTAGAGACATTATCTCTTGGGGAAGCAATTCACTGTGTTTACTGACCACAAAAGCTTGAAACACTTCCTTCAACAAAGAATTTCCTCACCAGATCAACAATGTTGGTTAGCTAAGTTGCTTGGGTACCAATTTGAAGTCAAATATAAGCCAGGAGGTGAAAATAAAGCTGCTGATGCTTTATCCAGATGTTATGGGGATGTGGAAATGAATTCTATAGTCTCTTACCCAAAATGGTTGGAGGGTCAGAAATTGTTACAAGAAGTGCAACAGGATCTAGGAATTCAGAAGATCATTGCTGAATTGATGGCCTCACCAGATGCTAGGCCAGGTTATACTGTGCAACAGGGTACCTTATTTTATCATGGCAGGTTGGTCTTGTCCCCAAACTCTCCTTCAATCCCATTGTTGTTACAAGAATTTCACAGCACACCTACAAGAGGTCATTCTGGGTACCTCAAAACATATAGAAGGTTGGCTGAGAATTTATATTGGGTAGGAATGCAAAGACAGGTCAGAGATTTTGTGAGAGCTTGTGACATATGCCAGAGACAAAAGTATGCAGCTACTACCCCAGGTGGTCTCCTACAGCCTCTTCCTATTCCCAATGCCATTTGGGAGGATTTGTCCTTAGACTTTATTACTGGCCTTCCAAAATCTAAGGGTTATGCAGCTGTACTTGTGGTAGTGGACAGACTATCTAAGTACAGTCACTTTATCCTTCTAAAACACCCCTACACTGCCAAGTCCATAGCAGAGTTATTTGTGAAGGAGATTGTCAGACTCCATGGTATTCCTACTTCTATTATCAGTGATAGAGACCCCTTGTTTGTGAGTCATTTTTGGATGAAATTGTTCAAGTTACAAGGTACCAAATTAAAGATTTGCTCTGCCTACCACCCAGAAACTGATGGGCAAACCGAGGTGTTAAATAGATGCTTGGAGAGTTATCTAAGGTGTTTTGCATCGGAACAGCCGAAGTCCTGGTCTCACTGGCTTCCCTGGGCAGAATATTGGTATAACACTACTTTTCATGTTTCTATTGGGAAGACACCTTTTGAAGTGGTGTATGGAAGACTACCTCCCAGCTTGTTAAGATTTTTAAGCAACGAGACAAAGGTAGCTGCTGTGGCTTTGGAGTTAAGTGAAAGGGATGAGGCTTTGAATCAGCTTAAGAGTCATTTGTTGCGTGCTCAACAACAAATGAAGAAGTATGCAGATACAAAGAGAAGAGATGTACAATTTGATGTCGGTGGATGGGTGTTTTTGAATCTTAGACCTCACAGACAGCAGTCAGTGATCAAGAGGATTAATCAAAAGCTAGCTGCTCGTTATTATGGTCCTTTCAAAATTGTGGACAATGTGGGAGCTGTAGCATACAAGTTGCAATTACCTGACACTTCCAGAATTCATCCAGTCTTTCATGTTTCATTGCTAAAAAAGGCTATAGGTGACTATCAGGCTCAAGGGGCACTACCTACAGAATTAGAGGTCGCACTTGATGATGACTTTTATCCAGAAAAGGTGTTAGGTTCTAGAATTAATGTGCTGAGAGGTGTTTCTATTCCTCAAAGTTTAATTCAGTGGAAGAACAAACATGTTGATGATGTCACATGGGAAGACAATGCTTATCTTAAGGGGCAGTTTCCAAATTTTAGCCTTGAGGACAAGGCTGTTGTGAAGGACCGAGGTGTTGATAGAGACTTAGGTGAAGAAGTTGGGCTTGACTTTGGGCCTAAGCCAAAAGTGTGGAGGGTTTATACTAGAAGACGTGGCAAAGGAATAAAGGAATAGATTGTAGGAGTTTGTTACGATAAAATAGGGAAGAGAGAGAGAGAGAATAATCATAGGAGTTGTTACTATAATTAATCCTATAATTAATGAGTTTGTTACTATAAAATAGGGAAGGAAGAGAGAGAATAATTAGCTAAGTTTATGACTATAAAATAGGGAGGAAATAAGGTATCTAGGTATTCTATTTTTTGATTTGAGAATCACCGTCTTGGTGAGGGAAGCACTGCGTGCTTAGGGGGGGCTGATAGATATTCTCTATCAGTTTGTTATTTTCATCACCGCTACTTCTTTGTAATTGTTCGTCCGTAATAATACAATTACAACATTCTTTTACTATTCTATTCATATATTCATTGTTCACTCATATATTCATATAAGAACCCATCAATGTACTGTGCCACAAATATTGAAAAGGACATGCATTATTAAAAAAGTACATGTAAATGTTTTCATTTTTCTTGAGTATATTAATATTTAGCTGCTATACAGGACAATGATAGGAAATAGATTAAGCATGAGTTCAATAAGGCTGCGTGGGAGACATATATAGATCTACCCAATATATCACTTTCACTACTTTGTGTGATTCTTTTATTTACATTTATTCAACATCATGATGCAAATGGACACTTTGCAGTTGAAATATCATATTGCATTCACATAAAAGTTGCCTTTAACATTTGATGTGCGTACTGAGCTTAAAATATGAATTATCCAATCATCATCCAACAATTTCGATTTCTTGATTGCGGTATAGTTCTGTGAAATAGACAATTTGATCCCAATATGACAAGGAAGTTCTATAGATATTTTGCATGACACATTGATTACTACTCGGTAACCGGAAAATTATAATTGAACCGTGCTTTCTAAAGCTCATAAAATATTCAGTTTAGTTATTAAGCAAATGAGTGAACTTGCAAATTACAAATGTGAGTAAAGATGCAGTACTACAAAGTCCATTTAGAGAAGCCCTCACCCCTATTAACATCAATGGTAACTCCACTTTGACACAAACGTTTTTATCTGCAACCTGCTCTACTAACAATGGATTGCAGCAAAATGAAACTCCACTTGACAAATTCAGTGCACAAAGTTCTGCAATAAATGTACAGAAGTTGTTTTAACTTCCTTAACCAAGTATAGATTTTTATGAATCTCATTTCTCACACATCAATTTATTTCAATATGCAGAACTGTCTGGTTCAAATTGACCAAAGAAATGGAACTGTGTACAAGGGAGGGGTGACAGACAAGTTGGTGGGGCATTGTTATCCCTGTATTCTTGAGTTGTAATTGTTGCGTATTTAATTTGGAAGCCGTTGGTGTCGTTTGATAAAGTTAATGATAGAAAGGTATAATGACAAGTTGGTGGGGCATTGTTATCCATGTATTCTTGAGTTGTAATTGTTGCATATTTAATTTGGAAGCCGTTGGTGTCGTTTGATAAAGTTAATGATAGAAAGGTATAATAGAGGGGTATAATAAAATATGAGTTTAAATTAGGTTGTTTTAATGTTTGTGCTTTTAGGATTATTATTCATTAAGAGTATTATATAATGTAGTCTTAAAGATATTTGGAAGTAATCAAATGAAAAAATTATTTTATCTTCTTTTATTTTATTTATTCAATTTAGTGTTCTTCTTTTAGTGTAAAAACCTTAGTTTCATAGCTTTTGATAAAAATTTCTTCCTATCAATTGGTGTTTTCATTCATGTACTCAAATCCTCGTATGAATTTCATCTCATCCATGGAACATTTCTCCAACCTATTCCACAAACCCCTATCTTCCATCTCCTATCAATCCCTCTTTTCCATGGAATTATTTTTCACCTTATCCCACAAATCCACATGTTATAATCCCATATTTGTATTTTAATTATAGGTATACACCACGTCCATCTAACCTTTATCCATCATCTCATTATTCGTAGTACTACACTAATTATCAACAACTACAATCAACAAACACCTCCCCCACCGTTATCATAAATATCACAATCATTCTAATATTAAAAGAGATTTCCCCCATCGTTATCATAAATATCACAACCATTCTAATATTAAAAGAGATTTTGAGTGACATTTGAGAGTGTCTGTTTACCGTGGTTTTTGGTAAATGTTCTGGACTGGGCCCGACAGGCCCAAAAGCATTGCTAAGGCCCAGTCCAAAGGGACTTACTGAGGACCACGCCGAGCAAAGGGGCCACATCCGTGCCCGACATCCTGATGTCCAGCTCGACATCCTGCTGTCCAACTCCACGTGGTGATGTCCAGTTCCACCTCCTGCTGTTCAGCTCGACACCCCGTCGTCCAGCTCCACGGCTGGCGTCCAGCTCGACATCCCCTCGAGCATCCCAACTAGGGCAGACTCAGTCCACCGTTCCCCCCAACGATACCCCGGAAAGACCGCGTCTTCGTCCGCCCGCACTTCACGCAGAACATCCAGGAAGGGGACCACGTGCGGGTCCCCACTACCCACGTAGAACCTGGCAGTTCCTCCATTGGGCCAAATCCGCCCGGCCCAATGAAGGAACCTTGGCCCAGTGTTGGGGGCTATAAATACCCTCTGTTTCCAGAGGGTCAGGTATTCATCATTTTAACCTCAACTTACTATTATCTGCTCGTACTCCTACTTACTTCAGCATCGGAGTGCCTTGCAGGTATCCCCCCCCCCACCTCGTTCAAAAAAGCTTTCTGCTCGGAGCCAGCCGTGACGGTCCATTTCTGATCAGGTCAGATCAGTGGCGCCGTCTGTGGGAAACAGCTTCCCCGTCTAACGAACAATTCTAAGGACCAAAGCTCAATTCAATTACCTGTCATGGCTGATCCAGCTCGCGAAGAGCAGCACGTCCGTGTCGCCGACACTAATAACGGTCCCGCGGACAAGAATGGTCACCTCGACAATCCCGGTGATCCCGGCCACAATGCCATCCCTGTGACAACCGCCCCTGGACCTACCTCCCACAGGGACGGGGCTACTGCATCGTCCTCTACGACCCCTCCAGCACTCGAAGACGACCCGGAAGCTCTCGCTTATCGCAGAGCTGCCCGGTTCTATGAAGTCCCAGTCCCCGCCGGGGCAGATGCCACGACTCAGGCACTGTTCGCGGCCATTAATCAGACAAATTACCTGATCTTCGCCCAAGGAGAAAGGTTAAGGGCACTTGAAGATGATCGACGAGCCCCGAGGAGGCATCGGAGGCCACATTCTCCTCCTCCTCGGGTCGAAGAAGTTCGACACCCTTCTCCCCCGCGGAGACACTACAGGGAGAACTCCAGGAGCCCCTCTCCCCGACCAAAGCAGAGGCGGCCCAACTATGAGAGACAGCCCGCTATTCCAGCCGGAGAACCCAGTCGCGACCCATCCAGGCACGACAAGAGGCACGCCGGAGACGGGCGTGTGACCTTCAACCACCGAGCATCACGCTCGAGGGAATCTCAGCACGATCATCGTGCCAGACATAACTACAGGACCCCTTCTCTTTCTCCGGAGAGGAACGACGAGGACGACCCCCGCGGTCCCCTGTCGCAGGCCATCATGGATGCACCTACCCCCCCGGGCATGGAGAAGCCCCCGCATCTGAAGGAGTATGATGGAGTAGCGGACCCGGTCGACCACATTGACGGGTTCGAAGCCATGCTCCACTATCATAACGTCGGGGGGCCCATCAAATGCCGCCTTTTCCCCACAACTCTCAGGAAGGCGGCCATGGACTGGTATAAAGGGCTCGCCCCGGGCTCAATTACATCGTGGCGGAACCTGAAGAACCAGTTCATCAGTTCCTTCACAGCTTCTCGGCGCCACCCGAAGACCGAGGCGGCCCTCGAGGCCATCATCCAAAGACAGGATGAAACCTTGAGGGAATTCATCAACCGCTTCAACCGGGAAGCAATACAGGTCCCCTGCGCGGACCATATGAAAAGATATTTGCTGGAGAGGGGCCTCCTCCCCGGCACAGAATTCAGAAAAGCTGTGGGTATTGAGCCACCTCCAACTTTTGACGCCCTCCTCGACAAAGCCCGAGCATACATGGACTACGAGGAGAGAGAAGCTGCCAACAGGGCCCGAGACTCCAGGGCTCGCGCTCCCAATCATAGCAGCAGCTCACGACAAGACCCTCCTCCCCGACGTACCGGGGAGAAAAGGAAGGAAGATCGACCCCGGGAGGTCCGGGAACAAAGGGGCCCCTCGGGCCGTTTCACCGAGTACACTCCGCTCACGGCTTCCCGCGAGCGTATTTTGGCGGAGTGTGCTAGTACAGATTTCAGAGACGGTGGCGTCAAGCGTCCCCGACCTGCTCCCGCCAAGCCAGGGGCAGACAAAAACAAATACTGTCAATACCATAGGAGTCATGGTCATTTGACAGAGGACTGCGTCCACCTCAAGGACGCCATTGAAACCCTCATCAAAGGAGGGAGGCTCGCACAGTACAGGCGAAACGACGTTCCCCGTCGTGACGCCCATGAAGCTAAGGAGCCCGAAGAGGATGCCCGACCATCAGACGAGTCGGTACCAATCCAGACCGCCTTCTCGGTAACCAGGCCCGAGGATTTCGACGTTCCCGAGCTCCTGCAGGAGCCCCTGACAACACACAGCAGGTGGGAATACTTCCCCTCCGCCATGGTCATCAACGGGGGCGGGTTCAACGACCTCACCATCAATTCAGCCAAGAGGAAGTTGGACGAACTGGTCGACATAGCTCCTCCACAAACTGTGACGTTCGAAAGGGTGAAGGGCAGATCAGAGCCCATCACCTTCTACCTAGAAGAACTCCCCGGCGGAGCCCCGAACGCAGTCATCCCCTTGCTTATAAGGGCAAAGATGGCCAATTTTGACGTGCATCGCATCCTGGTCGACGAAGGGAGTTCCGTCGACGTGATGTACAGCCAGCTGTTCCGGACCTTGCAACTGGACGACTCACATCTCTCTCCGTATGTGGGTTCAGATCTTCAAGGCTTCAACGGCTCGACCTCTAAACCTTGGGGCTATGTCGAGCTCCTGGTGACGTTCGGAGAAGGAACGGCTACAAGACAGGTCAAGGTCCGCTTCCTCGTCATTGATTGCCCGTCTCTATACAATTGCATCTTGGGGAGACCGACATTGGCGGAGCTGACAGCGGTGCCCTCAACTGTCCATCTAAAAATGAAGTTCTATACCAAAAGGGCAAGGGTAGCCACCATCCAGGGAGACCTCGCCGCTGCCCGCAGGTGCTTCAACGCCGCTTCAAAGGGACGGGATACCGTCGACGTGGGGACCAAACCCACCAAGAGGACAAAGCAGGAGCCCGACAGAGCATCCCCCGAGGAAGAAGTCCAGAAGGCTCCACCAAAGGTCGACTCCATAGCCCTCGACGCTCGCTTCGATCAGGACGAGCCATCCAGCAGCGAGCAAATCCCACTCCGACCTATTCCGGACGGTGATTTTGAACTCGTTCCCCTCGGAGCGGACCCGACCAAGGGAGTGAAGATTGGCAAAGACCTCCCCGACTTGGCCAGGAAGCAAATCAAGGTCTGTCTGCGCGAGAATGCTGATCTCTTCGCCTGGAGCGCTGCAGAGATGCCCGGACTCGACCCTGAGGTCGCCTGTCATCACCTCGCCATTGATCCAGCCGCCAAGGCCGTAGTACAACGTAGGCGTAGGCAGTCTCCAGAAAAAACGGAGGCTGCTGAAAAAGCTGTAAAAGACCTCCTAGAGGCAAATTTTATTTCTGAAGCCCGGTACTCCACCTGGCTGTCAAATGTTGTACTTGTTAAAAAGAATAATGGAAAATGGAGAATGTGTGTTGACTATACCGACCTCAACCGGGCTTGCCCGAAGGATGCTTTTCCTCTACCTAACATAGACATGCTGGTCGACAATTCGGCCGGCTACAAGACTTTGTCGTTCATGGACGCCTACTCAGGATACAATCAAATCCCAATGGCTCCGGGCGACAAACGCTGCACGACGTTCATGACCAGCTCGGGCAACTATTACTACAACGTAATGCCCTTCGGACTGAAGAACGCCGGTGCGACTTACCAACGTATGATGAACAAAGTGTTCAACAAACAGATTGGCGACATGCTCGAGGTATATATGGACGACATGATCGTCAAATCCCGAGCAGACACCGATCACGCAGCTCACCTCAAGACAGTCTTCGCCCAAGCAAGACAGTGCAAAATGAGGTTCAACCCCGAGAAGTGCACGTTCGGGGTTAAGGCAGGAAAATTCCTAGGATTCTATCTAACAGAACGAGGGATTGAAGCCAACCCCGACAAATGTCGGGCGTTCTCCGACCTCCCGACACCGACGTCGAAGAAGTCGATACAAATCATGAACGGCATGTTGACGTCACTATCCCGCTTCGTCGCGAAGTCCGCTCAGCACGCCCTCCCCTTCTTCAAGCTCCTTCGAAAGGAAGCAGCCTTCGAATGGAACAAGGAATACGAGCACGCACTTCGCCATCTGAAGCAGAGCCTGTCTCAACCGCCCGTGTTGTCTCGACCAGACGACGGGGAACCACTGTACTTATACT